ATACCGGTACTACAATAGACGAGTACAAATACCGCGTGATATTTGTACTCGTCTATGGCGTTATTTGTACTCGTCTAGGTGTAGTTGGATAATAAGAGATCATATAGCTTTTGTGGAACGGTTTCCGTGGTCTGAAATTAAATTAGCTCTCCCAGTTGTTGTAATTACGCAGTGTGTTTGAGGTTGTTTTTTTAAGTCCTAAATAAACTGTTTACGATGACTTCGTTTTGGTCACAAATCGACCCACGCACGATCGTAGCTGCAGTTACTGCATTTGAATGTTAAAAGATGCTTTTTGCTAAACAACAAAGGAAAGCATACTCGTTGCTAAATTCAACTATAGCAACATCTTTTTGTTTACAAGCCTTGGTGTTTACATATGGAGACAAAATCAATACATATTCTTCGCTGTTCAAACTGAGAAGGCTGCGATAGATATTTCGCCTAAGAAATGGAAGTAGAAGCTTTTTTTTTCACTTTAGCTGAAGAAAAAAGTTGTTTTTAAATATCATTTATTACTCTATGCAGGATGACAAATTCCTGTTGCCAGCGATTAAAATTTAGCGACAATTATCACGTAATGACATCGCGATGAAATAATTCATTCAAACGTCTGCTTCTGTTCACTATTCCACTTTAAAATTACAAATGCTATTATTTAAGAAAGAAAGAAATAAATAAATACAAAAGTGAAAAAGTACCCACCCGAATGTGGCAAAACTAATCGAGTCGGGTGGTTGTAGACAATATCAGAATATATCAAGGAGGTTGGAAATAAAACTGATTGCAAGATTACTGTTAATTGTCAATATTTTTTAATTTCTCTGCGTTGTCTTTATCAAGAACCATCTTTTGTTCTGGACGAGTTGATTCTTTTAAAATGTCCAAAAAATGCAAGCAAACTTCGTCTTATTTATGTTTTCGAAGAAGGGGAAAGTATAACTTATGGTGAGACCAAACAGTTCAACACCGAAGGAGCAAGGTCTTCGACCGCGGATCATACTAGGTTTTAATTAAACACAATGGCGTACGAAGCTTAACGAAACCGTGGCCTGAATAATAACGTGGATTAGTATGAAATCTCTAACGAGTGCAATTCAAGAAAATTACTGAATACTGAACAAGTTTCGGAAGTTTCCACAGCGAGAAAATGAAGTAAAAATTCTAACCTGTTGTACTTTGGCAGGTTTTGGGCGTTTGACGCAAGCATTACTAAACATCTGATGTTCTAATGAGCTCCTGAAAACCCGGGTTTTTTTTTCTTCAAATTTGTTTTGACTGAAGCAGCAATATAATTTATCCGTAAACAATCATTGTTTCTAATGTTAAAGGGAAAGTGAGAGCCCGCTATCAGCTTGTAAAAATAGGGACTGGAGAACTCCTTAGAGATCCGTGGACCTCCCTTTTCTTCCAGTTTGTGGGCAAGAGAATCCTACTAGCTCAAGCTCCCTACTTACTCGAACAAAATTCGATTTCGCCTGGATTTGACCTTATTTTTTCGGTCATTTACTATCTGTTAACTTAGTTAAATCGAACTCCTTGTTTACTCTAACTGATCTTTCTCTCTTTTGGCTCAATTTAACCTGATAACTCGAACTTTAAATAGAAACGTTGCTCGATGAACGTCAAAGTGTCGGAACATGAGTGATTGACACGTTCCAACTCTTAATCGCGATTCAGCTACGTACGTCGCATTAAAATGTTCAAGTCTGCTACGCTGGATATCTCAGCCTTTGTTGTTGGTCTTACATTTGACGAAACTAATAAAACAAACTAAATACATCAAAACGACTGTTGATTGTGAAAGAATAGCAAAAAATTATTTCTTATTAGCGTTAACAGGATAATTGAAATTCAACATCGACCCCCACAACTCGAATCCCAGCTAAACTTCAATGTTTTTTTCATTTCGAGAGACCGATTAACGAAGTTGTACTTTTTTTCAAGTCAGTGCGATATATATAT